TAGGGTGTAGGGTGTAGGGTGTAGGGTGTAGGGTTTAGGGTTTAGGTGTAGAGTCCGCGCAGAGCAGCCCGCACTGCGTCGAGCCGCCGGCGCGAACCCCCTCCTTGCGGACGCCTGGAGGGTCGGAGGCGGCTCCAAACCGCCAAACCCCCGCAAACCCTAAATCGTGGTTTGCGCAGACTACCTGGGCGCGGGCTACGACGGCGTGAAGGGGAACCCGCTGGGCGACCCGAACCTGATGGGCGACCCGGGCCTGCGGTTCCCCATAATCCAGTTCACGTTCCTGCAGGACGCAGAGGGCGTCTCGCGGGACTTGAAAGAACTGCAGCCCCTCGGGGCCTACAGCAGACCCTTCGTTGCATGCAAACAGTCCGAAACCCTCAGCGAAGTCGCCACCCTCGCGGACTACCTGCAGGAGCTCGCGGCGGACGCGGCCGTGGCCGCGGGCGACACGCTCGGCTTCAACGCCTTCTCGGCCTCCGCGGCCTACCGCGAACAGGCACGGAAAACCGTGCAGAAAAAGTCCCGCACCTTCATCCTCAAGACCTACTGCCTGCGCTACGAGGCCGGACTCGCGCAGAGCGACGACTTCAGCTGGTCAGGCCCCGCTGCTGCTGCTGCTGCTGCTGCTGCTGGGTGTGGCTGTGGGGGGGGAGGGCGGTTGCCGTGGTGATGGAGTAGCTGCTGCTGCTCCTGCTGCTGCTGCTGCTGCTGGTGTAGGTGGTGGTGCTGCTGCTGGTGTGTTCAGGAATTACACGTTGGCGTTTACGGACGGAGTGGCAGCTTTGCCGGACGTCTTCGACGGCAGCAGCAGCGAAGGCCAGGGCTGCAACCCAACGCTGTGGCGGGAGAACAGCCACGACAGCGTTTGCGCAGACACCAACGTCAAGACCTGGATGAACTTCATTGACCAGTTCGGCACCCACTACATCGTCAAACTCTTCGCAGGTTCGCACCCAACCTCCCCCTGCTGCTGCTGCTGCTGCTGCTGCTGCTGCTGCTGGGGGTGCTGGGGGTGCTGGTGCTGAGGGTGCAGGCGCTGCTGCTGCTGCGGTGTGCTGCTGCGTGCGGCGAAGGCGGGAAGCTGACGCAGCAAATCACAATGTCGAACTCGGACATTGCGCAGCTGACGAGCTCCGGCACGAACGTGAAGAGCGCGTTGAAGGCGACTTTCGGGGTGGTGAGTGGCGGCGTTTCTTCGAATGTTTCGAAAGAAGCGGAACAAAGAGAACAACTCAAACATTTCCAATACGAAACCGAAACCCTTATTGTCGGAGGCCGAGTCCCAAAAGATGTTTCCGACCCAGACTCCATGGCCGAGTGGTCCGACACAGTTGAGGAACTCCCGATGCCGGTACGGAAAGCGCGCCTTTTCTCCCGAATCCCCCGACAGATTTCTCCCGTTTTTTTTCCATTTCCATCATAAATGCATTTCAAACCCCCCTGAACACGAGATCACACTTTGGTCTGCGCCATCCTCGCAAAAACGGCTGCTTTCCACTTCACGCTGGAAGCTGCAGAGTGCAGCTGCCGCTGGGGTGTATGCGCATACACCTGAACGCAGGTTAAGATCACCATCCAGTCACTTTCCTATTTGCTGCCCGAAGAAAAAAAAGAAGCATTTGAAAAAGCTTCGCGTTTTTACGCGGAGGCAGTTGGAATGTCGAGGGCCGACCTCAACGCTATGGGGGGAAAAGTAGAGTCCATTGGCGAAGTGGTGAGTTTGCATCTTTTTCACTTCTTTTGGAAATCCCGGATTTCGCAAGGACACGCTGAGACGCAAAATGAAAAGCCGAAAATTGTCAATTTCAACTTCTCAGAGTTTTCTATTTCTTTGAACAGCCCTCGGTGTGTCTGTTTTGTGGAGGTCTGAGATGACTCGATTAGTGCGCATATATTATTCTACGCATCGTATATAAATGTAATTATGGTGCACGCAAAATGTATCTATAAAATATATATGTATTTATATTTTGCATGCATCTAATAAATCATAGGCATATATGCACACACATTACACTGAATTGAATTGCAAAAGCTTCAATGTAAATTTGAATTTAATTGGAGTTTGAATGGATTGCAAAATCTTCAGTTTGGATTTGGATTCAATTAGAAATAGAAATGAATTTGAATCTGAGCTGAATTTGAATTTAATTTGAATTTAATCACGAAAACTTGAATTGAATCAAATTTGACTCGAATTTGAATCTGAATTGTATTTGAATTGTATTTGAATTGAATTTGAATTGAATTTGAATTGAATTTGAGCTAAATACGAATTGAATTCGAATTGAATTCGAATTGAATTTAAATTGAATTTGAATCAAATTTGAACTCAATTTGAATTAAATTGAATTTGAATTAAATTGAATTTGAATCGAATTGAATTTGAATTATTGTCTCAGCTGCGAAAAGCGACGCAAGTGACTTACGAATCTGAGTAGAATTTAAATTAAATTTGAATTGAATTTGACTTAAATTTGAATTAAATTAAATTGGAATTAAGTTCCAGTTAAATTGAAGTTGAATTAAATTTGAATTAAATTGAATTTGAATTAATTTGAATTGTGTCTCAGCTGCGAAAAGCAACGCAAGTGACTTACGCGGGCGACCCTCCTGGCTACGCCTTCTGCGCTCCCCACGAGCGGGTTTTGTTGGGTTTTGCACTTCAACTAAATTTCCTCGACGACGCAGCCATTGCCCAAGACGCAGAAATCAAAGCCTGCCCCTCCGGAAGGTCCCTAAACCCTAAACCCTAAACCCTAAACCCTCAACCCTCAACCCAGCTCCTGGGCTGGCGGCGCTTTTTCCGTTTGGTTGTTTGGGAATTGCGGAGGCGGGGTGTATGTACACCTGGAGCCGCTGAAGGGGTTGGAAACTGTTGGAAGAAAGTGTTTTTCTTCTTTCCTTCTTTTTATTTATTATTTTTGTTTATTTTTATTTATTTTTATTTATTTTTGTTTATTTTCGTTTTATTTGTTTCTTTTTTTCAGAGACAAATGCGACGGAATTGAAAAGCCCCCCAAAGAAGGCGATGACGCTCGCATTTTCGCCCTTTGTGGCCCCGAGCCCGTCGCAGGACTTGAACAAGTCGTCGCCCAAGGCCCAGCAGTAAACCCTAAACCCTAAACCCTAAACCGTAAACCCTAGACCCTGGACACTAGAGCTTGAACGCGAACAGCTCTAGCTGCATGGAACGGAAGAGCACTGTCCAAAGACCACTAGCCTTTTGCTGCAGCGATGCTTCAGAATTTGAAGATCAGGGTTTAGGGTTTAGAGTTTAGGGTTTAGGGTTTGCGGCTCTTCAGAAAGCCATGGCTGTTTGCCCCCAAGGCTCTGTTATTTTGAGCGGCTTCACTTTGTCGCTGGCAGGGGGCCGTGAGGGTCTCCTGAAAACAACGTTCTTTCCTTGCAGAGCAGGTAAACCCTAAACCGTAAACCCTAAACCCTAAACCCCAAACCCTTAACCCTTGGAAGACGCTGGGGCTGCAGTTGATGGCTCCGGGGTCTCTAAACCCTAAACCCTAAACCCTTAACCCTTGGAAGACGCTGGGGCTGCAGTTGATGGCTCCGGGGTCTCTGAATGGATTTCAGGCGTTGGGGTTTAGGGTTTACCTGGACTATGAAAATAAGGGAGGGTTAAGCAAATGTACACGGGATTAGGGTTTAGGGTTTAGGGTTTAAGAGAGTCGGGCAACCAAAGTGCGTCTGCTGACATGCAAACCCTACTTGTTTGTTTTTGCTTCCTATCGAAGCCCAAACCCTAATTTAGGGTTTACTCTAGATTTTCCTTTTGTTTTCAGGGGTCCCCACATGCAGCGTTTTGGCCACGCGGGGCATCGAAAAAAACTTCGTGTGGATTGCATGCGTGGATGAGAAAACGCCAGGCTTGCAGGTAATTGAGGGTTTAGGGTTTAGGGCTTGGGGTTTAGGGTTTGGAGGGCAGGTTGAGCTGCGCTGCAAAAGATGAGGGGACGTTCACATGGGTTTGTGCTTCATTCTTGGGGTTTAGGGTTTCTATATTTCTAGGGTTTGTGACCTAGGGTTTAGGGTTTAGGGTTTAGGGTTTAGGGTTTGTCCGAAGTGAGGGATGCTTGGGTTTTGTGTTCCGGGTTTCTTAGATCCCGAGGGTTTCAGGCCCTACTGCTCAGGCCCTACGGCTTAGGACATAGGGCGTAGGGTTTAGGGTTTAGGGTTTAGGGTTTAGGCTTTAGGGTTTAGGGTTTAGGGTTTGTCTTCAGGACATCGTAAATGTGGCAGAGACAGTCACAGGGGTGGCTTCCAAAGTGACCAATATGGACGGCACTGTTAAAGTCCTTTGTCCCGAGTCTCTTGGCGTCGCATTTGGTAAATAAATAAATAATAAAGATATAAATTAATTAAAATAAATAAATAAAATGAATAAATAAATAAATTAATTAATTAAAATGGTAAATAGTGGATGGTGGTGGCTTTTGTAACTCTCTAGGAGCTGCGGCAGCGAAAGAGCAACATCTAAATTAGCGAAAATAGCTGCAGCAGCTGCAGCAGCAGCAGCAGCGGCTGCTGCTGCTGCTGCTGCAGCAGCAGCAACTGGGCCGTCAAGTATAACACTTATCAGTTTTTGGAATTATGATATAAATATGAACAAGGCATAATCAAAGTGAAGAAAGAAAAGGGGAAAAGAGGAAATAAAAGGGAGAAAGCGCTGAAAGCTGAAGCTGAACTCGCTGCTGCTGCTGCTGCTGCTGCAGGGTTTGCTGCTGAGCTGCACACGCGGATGGCGAAAGTGCGGATGAAGTTTCTGGAGTGTACAGACGGCGCGAAGGGCTGCCTCATTTCGGGGTTGGGAATTTCGGAGTCTTTCTTTTATCGAGCGAAAGATACACACGCTC